GCGTCGACATCGCCTTTCGACAAATAGTTTAACATCTAAGTAGGCTCCTCGGACGATAGATTAAGTGTGCGCGCGCACATGATTAAATGAGATTTATTTATCCGAGCGTACAGCTCGATGCTAAGAGTGACTTCTTTTTAGAAGATTCGCTTGCAAAAGGTGGAAAAGATCCGAATAAATAACCCTGACCAAGAATTTTCAATGCTAGGCCAGGCACGATCGACACACTTTTCTGTCATGATTCACACTAGGCCAACCTGTTGGGTCGGCCGGGCAGTCAAACTTCTGACCCCAGATAACACTATCTTGATCTTAATACTCTATCAGAAGAAAACGTATCAGATAAAAGGTCCCATTTTGCTAGGGTTAGGGTTAAGTCTCCACAATTCTGCTTTACCTATGTAAGTATATATTTATCTGAAAACGTTGCAATTTATTTTGAAAATAAATGGCTATTGTGAAGTAGACTTTATCACTTTCAAAAATTTAATAATTTTAATGGTAATGATAATATGAGCCGTTTCCTTATAAAGAAACATTAGACATTCATTGACTGAGCAGACCGTCTTATTCGAGTTAATTTGGATCTATCAATGATTTCCTTCTATACAGAAGGACGCAGGTTCGAATCTTGCCGGAGTATGCATGTGTTTTTTTAATAAGATTTTTCAAATATTCAAGCCGGTAGACGAAAATAAATAAATAAATATACCGTTCAATAAAAACTGGAGCTTCTAGTCAAATATATTAAATGTTTAATTACTAAAAATTCACTAAAATTCATCTAACCACTAGGCTACTCTCTTACTGTTGTTAAAAAGTATCCATTTTTCATCGCATGTAATGATTCATTGTAAAAATGGTTCTTTTCTCCTGCAGTAAGATTATTCGATATTGTTTTATTGTAATCATTTCATTGGGCTTATGCGAAACAATATATTGAAAGAAAAATTATTTGGAAAGCTAAAGAGTCAGGAATAAGACAAACTTATATATATATATATATATATATATATATATATATATATATATATATCTAAGGATGTTACCTAGACGATCGGATCACCAACCAAGCAAATAATGCGTCATTTCATGTGTGACAAATTAATATCTTTACGACTCTATCCTAACCTTTGTCATAGTTCAAATCTGGATTCAGAAAATCAAAAAAAAGCAGGAGAGATATCAGGTGAATATGGAGGATGAAGCAAAATTTCATAATTAAGGCCTATGCAGCTTTTGAAGAGTTGATTGAGAAGCGTGTGGCCGTGCATTGTCGTGCAGAAAAAATTCTGCCATCCCTATTCATAAGTCTAGGAGGTTTCTTTTTCATTTTTACGTGCATACACTCAATTTCTCCACAGTACGAGACTTCTTTTATTGTTTTCCCTTGAGGCAAGAATGAATAATGAGTAACCCCTTTGAAAGACCACCATACAGTAATCCATTAACTGTTTAGTGTGCAGTAGAGATTTGGGGTATTTTTGTTTTTGGCGATTCACTTGCATCTAACCACTGGCTTACTCTCTTACTATTGTCAAAGAATATCCATTTAGTCATGGCATGTAATGATTTGAGGCAAAAATGTTTCTTTTTCACACTTTGTACTCAGTTAGATTAATCGACATTGTTTCATTGTAATCATTTTCATTGGGCTTATGAGTAACAATATATTGAAAGAAAAATTATCAGCAATAAGAGAATATTATTTTATTTTATATACTAAGGAGATTAATTCGTCAGATGACCGAAACAACAATTAACCAAAAAAGGCGTCATATATATATATATATATATATATATATATATATATATATATATATATATATATATATATATATATATATATATATATATATGTAAGAGATCAGTATATACTGGTCACCGGTAGAGAAAGTGAGCTTGGTGTACATATTCAGTTGCGCCATCTGCATATCAAAGATTAAAGATTACAGCACCGGTTATTTCCAAACAGTCACCCATCTAGTTACTGACCAGGTTCGATATTACTTAACTTTGGTGGTCGTGTAGGAATCAAATAATGGTCAGATTTTAATGGAATTATAAAGACTTATCCACAAATGAATGAAATTATTTTTTGATAATTTGTTTTTTTAGACAATCTTGCAACAACCTTTGGTTGTTTTTCCCCCACTTTGTACTCATACAGTAAAATTACTTGACATTATTTCATTGTAATCATTTTCATTGGGCTTATCAGTAACAATATATTGAAAGAAAAATTATCTGGAAAAAATAAGAGTCAGTAATAAGACAAGATTATAATATTTTATATATTAAGGAGATTAATTCCTTAGATGACTGAATCAACAATCAACCAAAAAATGCATCATTTCATCTTTGAGAACCTAATATATCTGCTGGAGTGTATGTGTGCGCGTCTAGTTTGAATTGGGTTTATTTGGCAGCAAGACACATTAATGCATCTGTGTTAAACGTGTGGAGAATTACACGATTTCTGGTGCCAAGAAACAAAACACATTTTTGGCTAATTTGTTGGTACTGATTCCGAAAATGACATTAGGCTTTCATGGTTAGCTACCATTTTTGTTGTATCGAAATTGCTCATTTTTGGAAAAAAAAAAGATCAATTTACGATCTTGGCTGATCGCAAAATTTAGTTAATAAAGGTCGTAAAAACCTATTAATTTTCCGGTAAGCCGAGCAATTTATGTCAGCCACCTGAAATAAACTATTTTTATTTAAAAAAAGAAAAGAAAAGTGTTTTCGAATCAAATAATTTAAAACAGAAATATCGAATTTTTTCAGTTTATTGCTAAAATTCAAATTAACTGATAAAATTTATCAGTAATACACTTAAGTGAACCTGATAATTAAGGTGACATCAAAAAATGAAACCCTAAAATCTGTTTGATATTTATAAATCTATCCCATCACTTTTATCCATTCACTACGGAAGGAAACCAAACATATTGAGAGGATTTTGCTTTCACAGTTGGAATGAAACTCTAACTAAAGATATTCCAATTGAATGCACTAATTCCATTGTACATGATACTGCTGGAGTATTAAAAGGAACTTAAATAACATTAAACATGGCAGACAATCAAGAAAGAGAAAAATTTTACCATATTTCTTATGTTCACGAAGGTTTTATTTCTGCTGTTATTTTATTAAATGATTTGATGAAAATACTTGTTGGTCTTGGTAAATTCAATCGTGTTATTTTTAAAGACTTAGGACCTGATTGTTATTGCAAAAATAGTATTTCTTAATAAGCAAACCAATATTTTTTGGTTTAAATACGAATTGAGAGGTTTCTACGATTTTATTTTGAGAAATATTGCCGTCTGTCAATATCCTATATACAGAAAGAAAATGAAAAAAAAATGATTCTTTTCCAAAAATGAGGCATTTCTGTACAACAAAATTGGTAAGTAACCAAGAAAAAGTCATTTTCAGATTCAGCGCTCTCAAATTAGCTAAAATGATATTTTGTGTCTCGACGCCATTTCAAATATTTTTTTGTTGTTGACCAGTGTTATTTCCGTTTTGAATAGGGATAAGATTTGCCTAATAAATAATTAATAAATTAATTTCATAATTGTCTAAAAAGTTAATTTGATTGGTAGATTCGACTTCATTGAATATGTTAAGAATTTTTCTGATATTTATATTCTCGAAATATTACAGTGTTATTCACACAGCAAAGTACTTCACTTCGAATTAATATTTTCATTTAAATTCTCTTCAAATTAATGATACTTTCATTTAAATTGATGATACTTTTATTGAAATTAAATTTATTGAAGTTATAAATACTTTTATTCGAAGTAAATGTACTTTTATTGAAATCAAATACACTTTTTTTCAAATTATAGATACTTTTATTCAAATTAAGTATAATTTTGTTCAAATTATATGTACTGTTATTCAAATTAAATAAAATTGTATTTAAAGTATATGTACATTTATTCAAATTAAATATACTTTTATTCAAATTAAATATAATTTTATTGAAATATGTACTTTTATTCAAATTAAATATAATTTTTATTCAAATTATATGCACTTTTATGCAAATTATAGATATTTTTATTCAAATTATATTAAATATAAATATATATTTTATTCGAATTATAGATACTTTTATTCAAATTAAGTATAATTTTGTTCGATATTTTTATTCAAATTAAATAAACTTTTAAAAATTGTATAATTTATCCAAATTTAATATAATTTTATTCAAATTATATACTTTTATTCAAATTAAATATAATTTTATTTAAATTATATGTACGTTTATTCAAATTAAATATACTTTTATTCAAATTAAATAAATTTTATTGAAATATGTATTCAAATTAAATATAATTTTATTCAAATTATATGCACTTTTATGCAAATTATAGATTCAAATTATATTAAATATAAATATATATTTTATTCGAATTATAGATACTTTTATTCAAATTAAATAATTTTGTTCGAATTATATTTACTTTTATTCAAATTAAATAAACTTTTATACAAATTGTAAATTTATCCAAATTTATTAATTTTATTCAAATTATATGTACTTTTATTCAAATTAAATATAATTTTTATTTAACGTATATGTACGTTTATTCAAATTAAATATACTTTTATTCAAATTAAATATAATTTTATTCAAATATGTACTTTTATTCAAATTAAATATAATTTTATTCAAATTATATTTACTTTTATTCAAATGGAATATAATTTTTATTCAAATTATATGTACTTTTATTCAAATTAAATATACTTTTTTCACATTAACGATACCTTTGAAATTGAAATTAAATATACCTTTACTCAAAAAGTAAAAGCTGTTATTCAAAATAAAAAGAGCATTATTCAATAAAGATATTTTTTATTGAATATAAAGATAGCTTTATTCAAAATAAAAGATTCTCATTTAAAGCGATCATCGTTTTGGTTGGTTGGCGACAGGCGAAGTTTTGAGATAAAGCAATTTCATGGGTGATTCAGATATGCTTTATTATGTTCGTAGGTTTGAACCCAACGATTCGGCCGGTAGGCTCTTCGGACTTCACCACTTGGAATGATTCAGCAACAGGAAAGTCACGGCTCCATGATGACGCATACAAAGGACCTGTCTGAAAAATAAAAAGACACAAAATATATGACGTTCATGGGGAAAGAAGGAGAAATAAAAGACGAAACAGGTATCATTCCTTGTCAAAGGTTTTCTTTACATATTTTTACCAATTCTTTTTCAATGAAATCTCTATGTAAGAGTGGAGTAATGGAAAGCGACTCAGATTGGGATCTCGAAGAGATGAGTTCAATTTCCAATCTAGTACGTAAAATTCACGTCTGTTTAACTTTAAAAATGCTGCACACATAAGAAAAGAAAATAACTCACACAGAAGGAAAATCCTCGAGAGTGCTGGCATTGAATATTACCCAAATATTAATCTGCGCCCAGGCCTTTTCCCTATTCCAACTTTCTTAACAGAATTACTACTCTCCCAAACAAACGTACAGAACAGTATCAAGAAATCAAAAGAAAATGGTTGAATCCGTCAACATAGCAATAATAACAATATCTCCACACGTGACAGTAATTGACGTAATTTTCAGTTAACACTATGAAAATAGCGTTCTCTAAATTCTTCCAGTTGTTAAGGACATTTTGCTTTTGTTATTATTAGTTACTTTGTTTAAATAAGATCATTTCGTTTTTTGCCTTGAAAAAGTCCTTATTGGACGAAACGCGTCGGCAACTATTACAGTTTTCCTACTGTCTTTTACACACATATTTATATATATATATATATATATATATATATATATATATATATATATATATAATATTAGTGGTAAATATACACATACATATGCAAAATATATAAATATATACACATAGGTGCATACACATAAATGTATATTTTTGAATAAAAAATTACAAAAGGCTAAAATCCATATAGAACTCAATGTCCAGGACAGTGTAAGGATATAATAAAAAGGCTTAAACACTAATATTCCATGGCCATAATTTATTCCATTGGAATCGTAAATACGATCCAATTCATCAGACCTACAAATTCAAAAACTTTTATGAATTTGTAGGTCTGATGAATTGGATCGTATTTACGATTCCAATTGAATGAATTATTGCTGCTGTTACAATATAAACACACACACACACACACACACACACACACACACACATATATATATATATATATATATATATTTATATATATATGTAGTACACTTCAAATCGTTGAGGCAATCACTGGTAAATCTTTAAATTGGCTCACAAAAGTAGTTGTTTTGTATTTTAAATAAAAGAAAATTATTATATATAGTTAAAAAAAAAAGAAAGATTTTTTATTAAAAATTTTATTATGACAAAAAGTAAAATGCATGTTATGATAGAATTTTGCTCACGTCAACATATTCTTCTCAAACTTTGATTACTGCAGCACAAATTTTTGGCATTCGTTGCAAAACTTTTCTCAAAGTATAAGTTTGATAATTCATTCCATTCATTTTTCAATGACACTACGAGCTTTTTTTCATTATTTTTTTTCATTTTGTCAAATTCATCTCATGCTAATTCTGAAGGTGGATCCAAACTTTTGAACAGTAGTATATATATATATATATATATATATATATATATATATATATATATATATATATATATGATGAGATGAGGTATTGTAATTATTTACATTGCTCGGACAGTTGTCCTCTTCATACCCATAATCACTTACTTACAGTACCGGGAGTCTCAAAGCGGTCCCCCATCTAAATACTGACCTGGCTCTGCGATGATTAACTTCGCTGATCGAATGAAAACCAGTATGTTCCTCAGGAGACATATATATATATATATATATATATATATATATATATATATATATATATATATATATATATATACACACGAAATGGACAAAGTCTGACAATTATTTTAATATATTTCATTGTTATTATAAACAGAGGATTTACTTAAATAATTGTGCCTATATAAATAACGTATAACATTAAAATATATTAAAACATGTATATATGTATATATATGTTAAAGCATAAAACATATTTAAAAAAAAATTCACATTACAAACAAAAACGTTTGCGGTTTCTCTGTTCTTTTTAATATACACACTTTTCTCTCGATGGAACTACTATAACCTCTTCCTAACCTATATATATATACATATATATATAATGTCATTCAACACTATCACTTGATAAGACATCAGAAGTGTTGAAACAAAATGGCTATTTTGTAGTGATTTTGTAACATATTTCTGTTATAATTTACGAATTTTCAATCGAGCACTCTTTTAATAATAGTATTTTTTTTGGTTATTGGAATTTATTCCGAGAAAACCAATCATATATACCCATATATATATATATATATATATATATATATATATATATATATATATATATATATATATATATATATATAAAACGCTCAAACACTAATATTCCATGGTTATAATTTATTACATTGGAATCGTAATCACGATCAATTCATCAGACCTCCAAATTCAATTTTCCGATTTCTTTTTGAAATTGAAGGTCTGATGAATTGGATCGGGATTACAATGTAATAAATTATAACCATGGAATATTAGTGGTTGAGCGTTTTATATTATATTCTTACTCTGTCCTAGACTGGATTCTACCCTCTTGAAAATTACAAATATATATATATATATATATATATATATATATATATATATATATATATATATACCATATATTATCTATCTATCTATTATCTATCTATCTATCTATCTATATATATATATATATATATATAACATTAAAATATATTAAAACATATATATTGACCACTAATATTATCTATCTATCTATCTATCTATCTATCTATCTATCTATATATATATATATATATATATATAAATGTGTGTGTGTGTGTGTATTTTATCTGTGGCGTTTATCGATCTCTCCCACCCCCGGAAGTTGAGCCTTTAATTTATAAAGGTGGGGAAATTATTTTGAGTTTGCAAATAAAATGACTACAATAAAAATACAAGCGATGACTATGAAAAGAAGCAATAAAAGAAAAGAAAGAAAAAAAGGAAAAAATATCGCACAAAAAGAAATTTAATAAAATGTGTCATTACGAATCCCTAACAAAATGAACCCTAGTCACCAGATTGCCCTTAAAAAACAAACACTTCTTGAAGCATAACTTTAGTTCCTACTTTGATTTCTCGCAAAACCGTCGTCTCTCCTTCCACTATATCTCCCCTCCCACTCCCTCTGCGTCCTGTTTATCTATCTCACTCTATATCTCTCTCCCTCCTGGCTCTCCCTACCTTCTATTTCCCTCCCCTATTCCCACTTTCTCTTCATCGCCTCTCTCGCCCTCCTCTTTCTCCACATATATCCCCTCCCCTTCCTCCTACGCCTCTCTCTCTTCAACGCTTCTCCCTCCCCCTCTCAGCCATTCCTCTCTATCTCTTTCACGCCATTCTCTTTTCCTCCCCGCTCTTTGCCTCCCCTATTCCGACTCTCTCTCCGTCACCTCTCTCTCCCTCCCTTCTCATCTCATAGATCCATTCCCGTACCCACTTCGCTTCTCTCTCTTCATCTCTTCTCCCTCCCCCTCTCTGTCATTTCTTTCTATCTCCCTGCGTCTCCTCTCTCTCTCATTCCTCTCTATCTCTCTCACTCCACACTATCTCTCTTCCTCTCCGCTCTCTCTCTCCCTCCCTCCTATCTCCCTCCCCTATCCCCCACTCTCTCTTCATCGCCTCTCTCCTCCTCCCTTCTCACCTGATATATCCAGTCATCTATCTCTTTCACCCGTCTTTTTATTCCCTCTCTCTTCCTCCAAATTCTATCTCTGTCGGTCCGTCCCCTCTTTCTCTCCATTCCCTCTCCCTCTCTGTTGTCTCTGTCCCTTCCTCTCTCTCCCGTACCCTTCCTTCCTATCTCCCTTCCTTCTGTTTACCCCTCCCTTCTCTCACTTTCTCCGTACACACATAAATATATATATATATATATATATATATATATATATATATATATATATATATTAAACCAACGCTTGCCATCGTCATTCTACAATTGTTACGAGAGTGTTGGTCATTATGCTATATTTTTCCTTTCTTTTTGGGGGGTTCATTATTTACAGCGATTTTTTCGTTTCCGTCCTAAGTTCTTTCATTGGTGAAATCTATAGCTTCATGTGCCAAGGCATTAAAACATAGTGGCGATCCATTACGTCTCGCAGTCAACCAATTAAGAAGGAATAATTCATGAGACAGAACATCCACAACACGGATTAGACCGAGAAAAAAAATGATCGTCTGGAAAAAAAAAGGCAATAAAAGACGTGTAAAAAATGTGAAGTTATAAACAGATTTCGTTTTTGGACGGCGTCTTTTTCTTCTTGACTTGTTTCTTCCTCTCCTTATGCCTTTCTTTCCTTTTCTCTCTATTTTCTTACATTTTCTTTTCTTTTTTTCTTAAACAAAATTCGTTTCCGATAACTTTCCTTTGCCTTCATTTCATCTTTTTACAGTTTCTTCCCGCTTTTTTTTGTTGTTGTTTTGCTTCCGTCATCTTTCTTCTAGACTATTTCTTTCTTTCTTTCTTTCTTTCTTTCTTTCTTTCTTTATTTCTTTCTTTCTTCTTCTTTGTTTCCTTGCTTCTTTTTTGTTTCTTTGTTTCTTCTCGCTTTCTTTCTTTCTTTCTTTCTTTCTTTCTTTCTTTCTTTCTTTCTTTTTAGTTTCTTTGTTTTTTCTGTCTTTCTTTTTTTTTTTCTATCTTTCTTCTTCTTTGTTTTGTTGTTTCTCCTCTTTGTCTTTCTTTTTCTTACTTTTTCTTACTTTCTTTCCTTCTTTCTTTCTTTCTTCTTTTTAGTTTCTATGTTACTTCTGTCTTTCTTTCTTTCTTTTTTCTATCTTTCTTCTTCTTTGTTTCTTCTTTATGTCTTTCTTTCTTCTTTTTTGCTTCTTTGTTTTTCCCCCCCTGTCTTTCTTTTTCTTACTTCTTTCTTCTTTCTTTCTTTCTTTCTTTCTTTCTTTCTTTCTTTCTTTCTTCGGTCTTTCTTTTTTTCTATCTTTCTTCTTCTTTGTTTCGTTGTTTCTTCTCTTTGTCTATCTTTTTCTTTCTTTCTTTCTTTCTTTTTCTCCTCTCTTTCTTTCTTTCTTTTTTTTCTCCTCTCTTTTTTCTTTCTTTCTTTCTTTCTTTCTTTCTTTCTTTCTTCGGTCTTTCTTTTTTTCTATCTTTCTTCTTCTTTGTTTCGTTGTTTCTTCTCTTTGTCTATCTTTTTCTTTCTTTCTTTCTTTCTTTCTTTCTTTCTTTCTTTCTTTCTTTTTCTCCTCTCTTTCTTTCTTTCTTTTTTTTCTCCTCTCTTTTTTCTTTCTTTCTTTCTTTCTCTTTCTTTTTTTTATCTTTCTTCTTCTTTGTTTCGTTGTTTCTTCTCTTTTGTCTATCTTTTTTTTCTTTCTTTCTTTCTTTCTTTCTTTCTTTTTTTCTCCTCTCTTTCTTTCTTTCTTTTTTTTTCTCCTCTCTTTTTTCTTTCTTTCTTTCTTTCTTTCTTCGGTCTTTCTTTTTTTCTATCTTTCTTCTTCTTTGTTTCGTTGTTTCTTCTCTTTATCTATCTTTTTTTCTTTCTTTCTTTCTTTCTTTCTTTCTTTTTCTCCTCTCTTTCTTTCTTTCTTTCTTTCTTTTTCTCCTCTCTCTTTCTTTCTTTTTTTCTCCTCTCTTCTTTCTTTCTTTCTTTCTTTCTTTCTTTCTTTCTTTCTTGCTTGCTTGCTTGCTTCTTTATAGTTTTTTGTTTCTTCTGTCTTTCTTTCTTTTTTCTATTTTTTTCTTTGTTTCTTTTTTTTTTCTTTCTATTTTTTCTTTATTTCTTCTTTCTTTTTCTTTCTCATTTGTTTGTTTGTTTCTTTCTTCTTTTTGTCTTTCTGTCTTTTTTCTTTCTTTCTACCTTTTTTCCTTTTCTTTCTTTCCTTCTTCCTAGCTTCTCTGATTCCTTACTTTTTTCTTTCCTTCTTTCCTTATTTTTTCCTAATTTCATTCCTTTTCTCTTTCTTTCATTCATTCATTCATTCCTTACTTATCCTCCGTTTTTTTCTTTGTCATTCTATGTTTTTCTTCCATATTTCTTCAGCATTCACCAATTCCCTTGTCTTTACACTCGAAATAAATTTTCCTTCTTTTTTTTTCTAATCTTATTTTTTCTTTTGAATCGTTTTTTTCCATACCTATAATTTCTTATTTCCCGCTCTTATTTCCCGCTCTTATTTCCCGCTCAACCTCGCTGCCTCCTTTCCGCGGACATATTTTTTTTCTCACTCATTTCTTGTATTTGCCTAAGTATCCCACCCAACCGGCATTTATTTTCTTTCCCCGACACTTTATGGGATTTTTTTTCGAGTTTAAGAGCCAAATCTTGGAGATCGTATTTGCGAAAAGAGATGATTGTGTTTTTGCCTTTGATTCAAGGAAGTAGCCATAAACAGTAGTCAAATTGATAAGATTGCAGAGAAAGAAAAAAAAACCTTAAATCTATGGAGGCAGGGATGGAAAGATTTAAATTAGTCAAAGAAAAAAATCGCGGACAGACACGCGTGAAAGGGCAAGAAAAAATGACTTATTGCAAGAGAAGTAAATGATTTGTTGACGCCATTTCTGTTTGAGCACTTGCAAGTTTTTTTTTAATCTTGGTTTCAAAACAGAAAGTTTCAAATATTAAAATATGGAATTATTTTCATATATGAAACTCAGCTATATAACAACAAAATGCACATACGTACAACTAGATACTCACAGATATATACGAAGCTAAGTTTAAAAAATTTTCTACACCAACGCCATAATCTTAGGTTTATCACACTGCCTTCTGCTTGTGCCAGTTTGTAGTTGGAACTACTCTGGTCCCGGGATCAAAGTTTGAGCTTGATTGTGTCAGTTTTCTTTTTGGTTTTACAGTGCAAACATGACCGCTCCTCTAGCAGTGTGCACCATGGAGGAACAAAGAGCGATTTCTTGGGTTGGAAGTTATGTTAGGAGCTGAAATTCATCTCGTAACACAATTCAGCGACAGCGCACTACCGTTAAGAAGTGTCTAAGAGTGGAACGAGAAGTTTAAAAGTGGCCGGAAAAGCGTAACGCAGAAAGAACATCACCCACTGACGAGAGAAGATTCAGCAAGCTCAAACATGGTAATGGCGAACAGGCGACTTGTCATCAATGAGGTAGCTAATTCTCTGCAGACTCGGATCACTGTTCTTTGTTTCAACTTGGTGCACACTGCTAGTGGAGCGGCCATCTCTACACAGTAATAGTAGCAAGAAAACTGGCGCGATCAAGGTCAACTTCGATCATGTGAGTATAATAGTATTTTTTTAAATGAAAAAAGAATCTCTAGAAGTCGCAATAAAAGATTAACTTAAATTTTTCTCCATTAATTATCTGAGAAACCTCTCGATACTTTCAATCAGTATGGCTGATGCTAACCTCCAGGAAAGTGACTCGATGCGCCGTCTCGGGCTCATGTTCTCAGTTGATATGAAATGGAAAAACTATATTTAATCCATTGCTAGGTCAGCTGCTAAGAAATTCGATTCACGATTTCCGGCGAGAAAATTCTTCTCTCCAGAATCTATCTTACATATTTATAAGTCTACCATTCATCCATGCTTTGAATATTGCTGCCACATATGGTCCGGTGCTCCAGCTATATATTTAGAGATTCTTGATAAAATCCAAAGAGGAATCTGCAATGTTTCTCTCCAGAATCTATCTTATATATTTATAAGTCTACCATTCATCCATGCTTTGAATATTGCTGCCACATATGGTCCGGTGCTCCTGCTATATATTTAGAGATTCTTGATAAAATCCAAAGAGGAATCTGCAATGTTTCTCTCCAGAATCTATCTTACATATTCATAAGTCTACCATTCATCCATGCTTTGAATATTGCTGCCACATATGGTCTGGTACTCATGCTATATATTTAGAGATTCTTGATAAAATCCAAAGAGGAATCTGCAATGTTTCTCTCCAGAATCTATCTTACATATTTATAAGTCTACCATTCATCCATGCTTTGAATATTGCTACCATATATGGTCTGGTGCTCCTGCTATATATTTAGAGATTCTTGATAAAATCCAAAGAGGAATCTGCAATGTTTCTCTCCAGAATCTATCTTACATATTTATAAGTCTACCATTCATCCATGCTTTGAATATTGCTGCTACATATGGTCTGGTGCTCCTGCTATATATTTAGAGATTCTTGATAAAATCCAAAGTGCAATCTACAATGTTTCTCTCCAGAATCTATCTTACATATTTATAAGTCTACCATTCATCCATCCTTTGAATATTACTGCCACATATAGTCTGGTGATTCTGCTACTTACCTAGAGCTCCTTGATAAGATCCAAAGATTCAGCAATATTATTGGTCATGATCTGGTGGCTCGGCTCCAGTCATTTTGTCAACGCCGTAAGTTCAACTATCAGTCTTTTTTCATGAATACGTTCATGGCAATTGTTTAGATGAGCTAAAGTAACCATACTGAAGCCACTTCCCAGAGTTCTAACTTGAACTCTTTCGCGCATGCACACTAAGTTATAAACTTCTCTCTCAATTCCGTTGTATATAGCAATGCTTGGAAGGAAAGTGTGCAGAATATGGTCGTCTCAACACTCCATAGATGTTCCATGGCGTGTGCAGCAGCTTTTGGCCAAGCACACATTCCCTAGGTCCGACAACCTTCCTATACCTCATATCTCATCTATTTCGAGTTCCTCTTTCCAAAAATAAAATCCAACTTGAAAGGAAGAAGATTTCAAGACGTAGAGGTAATCCAAACGAATGTGACAAAGTAGCTGATTGGTATTCTCAAAAAGGGGTTACAGGAATGCTTCCAACAACGGAAACGACGCTATATATATATATATATATATATATATATATATATATATATGCTTAAGAAGGTGACTATTTTGAAGGCGATTAAATAGCGAATTAATATGTGTTATAGTTTCCTTTTTATAGTATCCGAGCCCGATACTTTGTTTTTATCAGACCTCGGTGTGTGGTAGAGATGAAACATAAAGATAAATAATATATTCATACAAAATCCTACTTTTCACGTTTTCTGTAAGGGTAACAATTGCCCAACTTGTCCAAAAAAGGGTACCAAATTGATCAAACTCGTAGAATGTTACCATAACTATTGTGGATTCCGGGTTGAAATCCGGTACCAATAAATAACAAACGCCAGGAATGAATATATGAAAATAATGGATTAACGTAATAATACAAACTGGTAAAGCAGGTTAGTAGTTCCAGGAATACGGGTTAGTAGCAAAATATATATATACAGTCTTTGGTATTGAAGTATCGCTGTATGACTTCTTACTGAGTCTACGTGCTCGCTCACTGTGACTCCTACGCCGCTGTTACCTCACCCCTCACTCTTCCGGTTACCTACAACCTTTTACTCTGTCATTCTGGACTCGACTCTTCGGTCTCGCTCTCGTCTTACTCTCGTCTTACTCTCGTCTCGCTCTTGCCGTAGTATATGTATATACTGGGTGAGTTCATTTGTGTAAATTTGTGGACCTCTCAACAATGACAATATCAAAATATATTCAAGCAAAAATTTTTGAAGTACTATGTCTGACGATCAACTTATATCCGGCAGCAAGGCCTCAGATCGGAAGATTGGACGTTTTGGGGAACGTGGAACCACCTTTTACATCCTGTTCTTCCCAGGTCCACCCTAACTCAGGTGGTAGCACCGGTTAGGGCAAATGGTGAAAATCAAAACACTATGAAAATATAAAAATATACTTTTTGTAGTAAAAACACTAGCAATACATTAATATTTTAAAAATTACACCATAGATATTTTTAGCAAAATGACCAACAATACATTTTATAGTAAAAGTAAGAACAATAAATGCTTATAAAGGATGCTTAACAGTACATATGTATAGTACAATTTCCAACAATACATATTTATAGTGAAATGACCAATAATAAATATTTATACAAAAATGACCAACACTTTATATTTATACTAAAAATACAAACAATAAATATTTATAATAAAATTACCTACAATACATATTTATAGTAAAAAGACCAATAATACATTTTTTATATATAAATTACCAAAAATGCATATTTAAAGAAAAATTAACAAGAATACATGTTTAAAAAAATTACCAACAATTTATAATTATAGTAAAAATACCAATAATATTATATTTATCGTAAAATTACAAACAATAATTTATCAAAATAGAATTACCAATTTTATCTGTAGCTGAAGCAATAAATTGTGTTCCTAATAATTAGATTTCGGCATTAAATAACCCATAGAGATGTTGATATGCCGCTAAACAAAATCAACCAAACAAACAATATAAAAGAATAATATTTTATATCAAACAAACAACAATACATTTTTTCTGTAGTTGAAGCCATACAACTGCTTTCAAAATATATTTAGTTGAAGCTAGAAAATTCTGTTCAAAATATTTAGATTTAGGCATTAAATAACCCATAGATGTGTTAATATGCAGATAAACAATATCAACCAAACTACACTGGTTCTATCGATAGTATTCTCAGCACCCTTCTGTAGAACTGCAAAAATGACCAGCAATACATTTTTGATTTGTGTTTTACGGCTTATCAACCTTTTTTAATTTTATTTAAAGACAGAATTCATTTTTAGAATGTAAGAAAATTCTGGAGATAATAGTGATATAAGTTCTACTAATATCTATTCCATGAGGATTCCCTAGAGAGGAAAAAGTTGAAATGCGATCTCATCGAGCAAACCGCTTTTCGGACACCGTAAATTACCTACGGTCACAGCAGCGACACTGTCGAAGGTGCACTTTGCCCTATAAAACCGAATGAAAAAAACCTTGTAGACATGGATGGACTGAGAAATTCCGCACAATTTAATACCAATTTGGAAGGGATTTCATCTACTGGAAAAAAGTTATAAAGAAGTGAAATGTGAGTGATCCCCTAGTTTTGGTCCGCATGAGCCCTGTCCGTTGTGATTTTATTCTTCGTTCTTTTTTCATATATATATATATATATATATATATATCATAATAAAAAGAAAGAAGAGTAAGATAGATAATCCGGTGTTCTTATTGATATTTTTATTTTTACAAAACAGAGCTCAATGTAAATTTACAGTGCATAAATATTATAAATTAACTGAT